TAAGACTAACGGATTAAATAGGAGGAAGCACAGAGGTGGAGAGCAATGATGATCATGGCGCGCACGATTCTTGGCACTCGAATGCACGTACGTTGATCGCACATGGGTCCGTTGGTTTCTTTGAGACACTTCCTTAGATTGACGCATTATAAATGGAGATGGAATACATGGATTGAAGGAGTAGAATAAAATTTGCACAATTGAGCGTATAGGAATGTGTTTTGCGTTGAAAATAATACGGTGCGAATATAGTTTATGCATGAATTGTGCCACTTGCACATCTTATATTTTCTCCTTTGTTATCTATCCATTCTACAAAGTATTGAAGTCCATTATCTTTAATATTATACCTAAAAGGACAGTTTTATTGTGATTTAACAGTAATGACAAGTTAGAACACAAGATTACAAGCACTTACATTTTTATACCTACTTGGCTTTTTTTCAACAAAATAAAAACTTATATCAAAGTCCAGTTTGAATTATTATTATATGTGCTTTTATTCTTTTTTTATTATTAACCCATGAATTCAACCACTGACTCATGACTGGGGTAGATCAGCAGGTTACTGTCCAGGTTGGGTTTTAAAATGTTGGCTAAAACAAATAATATGTGTGAGTCGATAATAAACATCTCTGGGACATCGGGCTCCTACCAATTCGGGGTTTGAGAAGAATCAGAGCCTTACAGACCTCAAAATATAATCAAGATCACAATCATCAATCAGACAAGATAAAATGAAGCAACTACAAGATTCCTTTTCAGGACCTAATTGTAAAACTTGTGGGTAATAAAGTCTCAGTATCCAGAAAACCATAGACTAATACTACATCTGGAATTGTGCATGCAGTACTTTGCAACACAAATAACAAAAACACTGCTCTCTTGGGCAATTTGTTCGTAGAATCACCGTTCCTCGCTTATGGCCACAGAAGTAACATCTAACAATGCATTTAGCTGATCGGCAATCACTCTTGCGTGGCTGGTAGTGGCTGCAGAGCTTTGAGAGGATTCATGATCACACCATCGATCAAACCATATTCTTTAGCTTCTTTGGCACTCATGAAGTAGTCCCGATCAGTGTCTTGGTTGATCCTTTCAAAGCTTTGACCAGTGTGGTATGCCAGGTATCCATTCAAATTGGCCTTGTGATGAAGCATTTCATTTGCCTGCAAGTGAACATGATAAACAGTGATATTTTATGACAACTGAGTTTGAGACTTTAACCAAGAAATCTCTTAAGAATCATCTAAAGTCCACATTCTGGCAGGCATCTAAAGTCCACATTCCCAAGCCCTAACATCAAAATGCATATTAAGACTGGATGATAAATAATCGCTACTTGACACTCTGGCAGGCATCTAAAGTCCACATTCTCACGTCCAGTCAAAGACTGACTAGACATCTCAGGACAAATCATACATCATCCACATCAATGTGTTAAAGTATCTACAGTTTTATGAAAATTTTCACAAAAAAGAAAATCTGGCTTTTACCTGGATGTCTATATCAGTTTGCCCACCCTGAGCTCCTCCAAGAGGTTGATGAATCATAATCCTGGAGTTTGGTAAGCTGTATCTTTTCCCTGCAATAGTTTTATGTGCACAAACATAAAACTAATGGAAAAGCCATTATCAAC